ACATACGTGTATAGCCATTGCAGCATCTGCAACGTCCCGATCTACTTTTGCAACATACAAATGAAACACTTGCAATATATTTGTGAAATATCTGAAACACTTGAAACATACGCTTACAATATGCGACGTATTAGGAGGCGAGGCCGGAAGGCTTCCATGCTAGGGCCCGGCGCTTCTACTTGCTCGAGCGGCCACCGTGACCGTGAGAGGCCACCACATGGTGGCACGAATCATGGCAAGAACCGCATGGTGGTCAAAGCGGCCAGCGCGGAAGCCATCGCCGCACGACGAGTGAAGCTTTGGAGCATACGGGTGTGGTGGAGGCGAGAAGCGCGAAGCCACTCAGCCACCCCGGCTACGGAAGGCAACCACAGCTCACCGCATGCGAAGTCGAGGAACCGCAACAGCGGCAAACGGTGGCCTTGCCATCAGCGACGTCGTGCGGCGAGAGTGGGCGGTGGAAAAGTGAAATGAGAGGATAAGATATGAGAGAATTAATAAGATCGGATGGGTCTCAGGATGGAGGCATCCGAGGCTGCTTTGTGAGGATATTTTGTTGAGCAACACGAGCGACCGTGCGGTGTTGGGCCGTTAGGGCGAGCGGTGAGGCCCACCAACACGAGCGTCCGGACGATCGGACACCCTAACCACAACTTTTTCGTTTATTTAAAACCGATAGGCATAAAGACATTCTTGGATCTGAATATTTCAATAGGTTCGGGCTTAATAACTCATCCTGAAAAAAAAAAGAAGCACGCTTACCATCCCTTCTTTATAGCGTCTCTTTCCATTTTGCACCATTTTCCCAAAACACCCTCTCCTTAGTTAGCTTGATGTTACACCCGAAAATAAATATGGTAAGAAAACGCTAAATAAAATAAATAATTTTAATAAAATTTTAAATTTTGAAAGAATTATTTAAAAATTTGTCAATTTAGAGAGTGAGAAAATTGCTATTTATAAATAATTTTTGGATTAATTTGAATATTTGTTGCACTCATGTTGATTGCATAGAGTTTTTGTGAATGTCTTTCTAAATATTTACAAATGAGCTTATGGTTTGGTACCAACCGCTTCTAAAACATCGAATCGAATCAAATATCAAGATTATGTTTGGATCCTTGGAATTAAAATCTATTCTAATAATCACAATTTAGGCATATATTTATTAAGTTAACATGGATGATATGTAACGTACATCGGTACATGTATACTATTGTTGACCACATGGTGGAGATATTTGTGTGCTGCACTACTGCTGCAGGTGAGCGAGCCACAAGAGCATAGTCTAAGTTGTAGGGTAGAAACCATGCATGGAGATTAGTGAAACTATTTCTATCTTTCACCCATGAATTTAAGACAGGTATATATCTAAACTTTGGATAGTTCTAGAATGTCAAATTCGAAGCCAAATAGCCTATTTAGCTAGATTCCAATCTCCAAAATAAAAGGATCTAAACGGACCATAAAGGAATTTTGTGTTTCTACCCCTATTATAGAGTACAATTATGATTTCTTTAAAGGAGATCAACTCGGCTTTTAGAAAGCAAATGAAGTCTTTACAAGCTAGGGATACCAGCTGACGTTCAACCACTAAAGCTCAACAGTTAGCAGTCCAAGGACACAAAAGAAGCAACCCAGTTAAAACTCAACTAAAACTGAGGTCAATAGCGTGCAGAACTAGGAAACTAAAGGTGCAGCCCAACTAAATCAAAACTCGTGCAAAACAAGGAAACTAAAGGTGCAGCCCAACTAAATCTCAGCTATAGCTAAGGTGTAGCTATTGAAGGAGGCGCTTCTCATGTCATGTCTTGTTCTTTTAGAAGCTGTGCCCACATTTGCATAAAATTGAGACTCATCGAAATCGGACTCTGCAGGGTTGGATTCATCTCACATGAAAAGCATTAGTCCACTAGTGTTGTCGCTCAATTACCGAAATCCAAAGAAGCTTTTAAATGTCCTATGTTTACGTTTTGGACGTTTATTCTGTTCTATCATAAGGTTGTTACAACGATGAGATTGTGCTTTCTTGCTAATCAAAACCATCGACCTGATCAATACACAGTAAATGTTCTATCCCTACAATTTCAGTAAACAAGTCAGTTTTACTATATTTATTTGTTACGTTCACATCTGATTCAAAGAAAATAGAATTTATTTCAGCAGACTGGTTGAACTGTAAAATTTCCTAATTGCCACTCCTGAGTCCTAACACTTTCCCCATTTATTTAGGTTCTTGTGTGAAATGTACCTCTAGACCCAGATGAATCAGTTATTGAGCATGTTGAGCACTACTTTGCCGTGAATCACTGTGATCATTACCTCAGTCACCAGGTTCTAACTTTTATTTGATTCTTTCCACTGTAGTACTGTCAGGATGACTTGTATAATCATGATTCAGGCGATAAGACAAAACAAATAAAAAGTTGTTTATATTTCAATTTTGATTTTTTTTCTTTGACTGTACTTCTTAACTCTTCAACTGAAGATGATCCCATGTCCATTCCAGTTCAAATTTACCTTCTGTAGTAACTTCATAAATCAGGTCAACAGACTATATACAGCGCAAACCACCTTTCTGGCTTGGTTCAGAAGAAAAAAGGCTTGCAAAACTGGTTAATCTACTACAAAAATAAGCATGCTAAAATCCCTGCAAAAAAACAACAATAAAGGCACATCATCTCTGTTGCAAACATACTCTCTTGTACTGAATGACTTCTATCATCTGAAATGCTATTTCTCTTGTACTAAATGACTTCTATCATCTAATGCTATTTCAGTGGATTCATAAAAGATTGCAAGTGGTATGACTCCAGTAAATTTGTTATACATAGGACTGTGGGGTGTTTGGGTACAAAGAATGACTGACTGGCTGCTATAGAATACTACTAAAAAAATCGAGGATTTATGTAAACAGGTGTACTAAAGAAACAACCACTTGTTCATCATTTGATATGTATCAGATTGTGAGGAACTCTCATTCCTTCAACTCTACTACTCCATCCATTCCAAATTGTAAGATGTTTTGGCTTTTCTAGATATACATTGTTTTTGCTATGCACTTAGACACACACTGTCTAGATACATAGTTAAAGCAATATATCTAGAAAAGCCAAAACATCTTATAATTTGGAACAAAGAGAGTATACCTGATACTCCCTCCATTCCAAATTGCAAGTCATTCTGAGCAATACCAAAGTGGTGCACAATTCTGGCAAAATGTGCACATACGACTAATCATAACCTTGATAGCATCACAAATCCTCCTACTGGGACTGCTGAGCACACAGGAAGCAAATAAGTCCACTGTTGCCCTTCTCCCACTTCCTGTCCTCTCCATTTGGTTCCACTATGTTTGCAAGGGCAGTTTGAACCAGTGTTTGTGAAGTTCTCCTTGCAAGTAAGATAGAAAATTAGCTCACTAATTTGTCAGCAGAGTGTCATAATAAATCAATGTTAAGCTAGAACAGTATGAAAAGCATAGAAAAATGGGACCTATTCTGACATAAATTGGCATACACTTCTGTTTTGCTGGATGCCATGGTAAAGGACACATTAGAACAGGAACATGAACCTGACTTCAAATTTGTCCACTGCTTATGTGCACCCAGCCTTCCAGGAAAATGATATATATAAGCTTGTCGCCATGGATGAGGAACAGAATAACCCCATCCTTGTGACAGTGCCAGCATCGCATGAACACACCAGCAGGAAGCAAATTAAATTCTAGTTCTGATGGTACTATTGAAGGGGAGTTCAGCTGGATACCTCCTACCTAAAGCGTGATTCTTTCATGAGAAAATATGATTTTTTTTTCTATTCCAGTAATCCTGTAAATGTGGACAAAAAGGGAATACTAAAGGAGGCAGTAGGACGGTGAAACAGGCTGTATTATACATGATCCGCATCTGCATCAGTACATCAGGATTATTTGAGCAATTAAGAACTTTAGTTTGCCAAATCAACCACTGGAACTTCATCCAAACTTTAGTTAAACAATTCTGGTACTAGAATAACACTACGATAGTATGCTGCAAACATTGAAAATATTCTTGAAATATTCAGACATTTAGAACTTGAGCTCCTTTATCCCCGTCTCTCTGTAGCATTGATCCTAAATATCGAAAGGATACAGAGAGACGAGGATATTGATGAAGATGTTAGCCATAGAATCAAAGCAGGGTGGATGAAGTGGTGCCAAGCATCTGGTGTCCTATGTGACAAAAGGGTACCACAGAAGCTAAAAGACAAGTTTTATAGGACGGCGATTAGACCTGCTATATTGTATGGTGCAGAATGTTGGCCTACGAAAAGACGACATGTTTAACAGATAAGTGTCGCGGAAATGCGTATGTTGCGTTGGATTTGCGGTCATACAAGAAGAGATCGAGTTCGGAACGATGATATACGTGATAGATTAGGGGTAACATCAATTGAAGAAAAGCTTGTCCAACATCGGTTGAGATAGTTTAGACATGTCCAACGGAGACCTCCAGACGCACCGGTGCGTAGTGGAATCATAAGTCAGGATAGTAACATGAAGAGAGGCAGAGGAAGACCAAAGTTGACTTAGGTAGAGGCAATAAAAAGAGACTTGAAAGGATGGAATATACCCAAAGACTTAGCCTTAGATAGGAGTGCTTAGAAAACAACTATTCACGTGCCTGAACCTTGAATTGCTTCTGCTGGGTTTCAACTCTAGCATACCCCAACTTGTTTGGGACTTAAAGGCTTTGTTGTTGTTGTTGTTGTAGAACTTGAGCTCCTATTGCATGACCTTGTACAACGGAATGCACCAGTTTTGTTCAAGATCCAATTAATTAGCTAAACAAATGCAGATTTACATTAGAATTTTGTTCTTTGTGAATTTAATATATTCCTTGAAAAGAAAGGCAGAAGCATAGGCTGAAAGGATTAGTAATCCTGTAAAAAGTTATCCTGCTGGTGCTGGCAAAGTACAACAGCTCAAGAAAGTGAAAGTGTCAATGTTTGGACAAAAGTCATCTCAGACTGATCATTCTTTCCAATATGTGACACACTATGTACATTTCAAGACCTCGACAATATCCTTTCTTACAAAAAGAAATGATTAATTCCTGGTACATATACACATCTATTGTGAAACCTTGTCCAATAATCCATCCGATTAGCGCTTGCAATTCACGAAGCTTACCACCAGCGATGAGACCTCGTAAAATACTTGATACTGCAGCTTTAGAGAGCCCACCTTCCATACATTGGTTCAAACAGCTAAGTGCAACCAAGAATTTTCCCTCTTTACAGAGACAATCAATCAAAAGACTGTAGGTGATGTCATTGGGAGCAATACCTTTCTCAATCATCTCATGAAGCAGGAGATAGGCCTCATAAGATTTCCCCAGGAAATTGAGATGACGGATCAAAGTATTGTATGTCACAACATCAGCGACAAACTCTTCACTTCCAAGCAAGCAAAGTGCTTCATGAAGCTTCCCAAGTTTACAGAGACTATGGATCACAATGCTGAAAGTCCAGCTATTTGGAGCAATTCCCTTCTTGACCATATCGACGAAGAGCTTGACAACAGACAACCATCTCCGCTCATCACAAAGCCTCCTCATCACAGTGTTGTAGTTGACAACATTGACATGCCATCCAATCTCTGCACTGCACTCCAAGAGGCACTTTGCAGCCCAAGCAGTTGACCTGCGGCAAACCCCATCAAGGAGGATATTCAGAGTAATCTCATTGGGACGCAGCCCAACAGACAGCATCTTATCAACCAATGCAAGGCTCTTATCTACTCTGCCATTTTTGCATAGTCCATCCATGTAAGTACTGTATGTGATTATATCTGGTGTCCACCCTTTTGCACTGCTGTCCTCAAGAAGTGCATCTACTTCTTGAAAAGCACAAGCCTTGCATAGAGCTTCAACCAGGACATTGTAAGTGGCTGTGCTTGGTGCAAAACCAGCTGCAATCATCGTTTCCAAGAGATCCTTGGCCTCATGTATCATCCCACTCGTGCAGTAGGCGTGCAAGATGGGCGTATACGTGTGAGCATTGGGTTGGCACCCTTCCTCCAGCATCAAGTCCAGCACGCCAAGCGCCTCAGCCACCCGCCCGGCACTGCACAGCCCAGATATCAGCGTCGAGTAGGTGACTACGTCCGGGGCCACGCCATTCGCCGTCATCCACCTCACGACCTCGTAGGCCGCGTCGAACCAATGCAAGCGGCAGGCGTACGCCCCGACGAGTACAGTGCACGCGGCAGCGTCGGGCACGACGCCATCGGCTGCCATGGCGTTTAGCACGGCGAGCGCGGCTCCCGGTTGAGACGCCGATGAGAACGCAGCGGCGGCCGTGGTGAAGCAGGCGGCATCGGGGCGGCGCCCCATGAGGCTCCGCATTTCGTCGAGCAGGTGGAGGGACCGCTCGGCGCCGGCGCCTGGGTGGTCACCGCCAACTGAAGCAACGAGCGCGGACATGAGGCGGTTGTAGTCGTACGGGTGTGGGGACCGTGGTCGTGACGGGAGAGGCGGGGGCGGGGGGGGCTGGTCGGAGTGTTCCTTCGCGATGGCGGCGAAGCGGAGTAGGTAATCTCGAGCGGACTTGGACAGGCGGCGTAGATGCAGGAGACGGGCAATGGGAGGGGAGCGGGAGGGCATAAGGAGGTGGGGGAGACTGCGGCGGCGACATCTGAGAGCGGCAGCGGCGGCGGCGGCGGCGGCTGGCTGCAGCTTTGCTGCCCGGAGCGGAGGGCTCGACGTTAAGGCGGGTGAACGGCGGGGGCCTGGTCGGAAATGTCGTCCGGGTTAGGTTTGGCAGAAAAAGGAGCGGTGAGATGATAGACAATTGAAATTTCAGCAGCCTCCGCTCTTGGAACCGTGGCGCGCCGCCTCCACCGCCCACCGGCCTCCCACGCTCCTCAGTCCTCTCCCACTGAAAAAATTGTAAAAATAACACTCTAATGATTACTCTTATTACGATAACACTCGGCTGGATGAGAAGTGACTCCATCTGTGCCTATAAACGTGGGTCTGATCTGCAAACGACCTATATCTCGAGTCTTTGCAAATCGCCCTCTCCCACTCCGTGCCCGCGAGCCGCGCAGGGCGCAGACCACTGTCGCCTCCCGAAAGGTTGGTTTTACCTGCCACGCTGGCTCTCCCTCCCCCACGCACGGAGGGTGTTCGACGAAATGCCCGCCGCCGCCGCCGCCTTAGGTACAGCTAGTCGGCAGTCGCGGGCACGCTGTTGCTACTCGTGGGGTGTTTCTTTGCGCGATGGGTTTTATTTCGCTTTGCTTCTATTGAGGCCGTTCTGTTCACGCTTGACTGTCTGCTTAGGATTATTACCTACTACTCCCTCTATCCAAGTTACAAGAATGGGGTGAGTTAAAGAATGCTTTCTTTGAAATATACCTTGTTTTACTTTGTGTATCGATCTCTTAGATGGTCCAAGCAATTAATATGGCTTACATTGTTCTGCTTAATGTTGAGAGAGGAGAATATAATATGGTTTTGGTAATGTTCATATGCCTGTACATTCTGTTTTAGTTGTGCGGTGAGTTAACATACAAAATTGCTGATCATGTCATTCTCCAGTTTGTTTCATACTTCTCAGTATTAGTTGCATTTCATTGTTATGTGAAGTGAGTTTTTATCTTAACAACCTTCATATGTGGTCCTCTTTAGCTTTGCAAGATTGACTCTGAGGGCAAGGCGAGGAAGATATAGGTTGCTCCTGTGTTGTCGTTAAGGTGAATATTCATTTCCTACTGTACTACTACAAGCAACTATGCCCAAGTGAAATCTCAGCACTGGAGTGTAGGATTTAGAATTGTGGCACTCAGCTTTCGGCTCTCAAACATGTGAGAATCTCTGAATGCTGAAGCAAATCGGAAATGCCGTAAAGAGGGGAAGTTCATAGTAAACCAATTTGAGGTTGAAATTTTGTTTTGCAAGGACCAGCCACGAAATTTAGTTTATGCTGAAATGTTGTGAGAGGAAAATATTGTTCCATGGCTGAAAAGTAGTGTTGAATACTCTGGGATCTTGCACAATATGTGAAGTATTTGTTTTTTTAGGAACATTGGCTGGCTGCTAGCATGTGAGGCGGTTCTCTGTCTTGGTACTTCTGAAAAATTGAAGGGATTAGAAGGAGCTGGTAATTTCAGGGCACTGAAAACTGCAACTGACTTTTCAAAGGTTCAATATAAGGAGTAATAAATTGTTGAAAATAGGCTCTGGTGTCAAAGCTACCAGAAGGTGGGGAGAAGATAAGGAGGCAGAGAGGAGAAGCTGACTTATGCAGAGAATGAGAAGGGGGCTGCTTGAGTTATTTGCTTGGATGATCTGAGCGCAGATATGGAGAGCATAGTACTATCCGTTTTGGCTATGGAGTTTTCATGTTAAGTTGTCTGTTTAGGCTAGCCGGGTAGTGGTATGTGTTGTGAAGTTGTGTTGCTGGACAAAACTAATAGCTTTTAGTCATTTAAGTTCTAACTAACAAGGCCACCAGTTGGTACTAGATATTACTATTCTGCACTTTCAGTATGCCTCACTAGGCTATTTAGCTTTATTTGTAGCACTTAACTCTAAACCTAAACCAGGAGGAAATTTCCTTTTTCTCATTTTTCATCACTATAAAAGTAAAAGGTTGATGTTGCATATCCCTGTGGTGGATACAATTAATTAGTTATTCCAACAAAGAACTATTCAGAAAATGAGTAGAATATGATTGGGTTAATCTTATTCAATCTGATTTTTTTTTCTTAAAAACTTGCATGGAAGACATCAAGCATTCAAGCTACACATTAACATGAATCCTGGCTGGTGGCTGGTAGAGAAGGTGATCCTGTTCGGCTTCAAATGTGAAATGTGAAATTTGAGATCATTTTAGGTTGTTCAATGTTCGAAGTTAATGAGGATTTCATCTCACCCTTTTCTCGATTGGTTCTTTTTTAATTTTCTTAATAAATTCATCTACCCTCCAGTGGCCTCCCACAATGGTGACCATGCGCCTGCAGCTTTACAGAACCTCGTTCGTCACACTGGGGATCATGAACAGTCCACCAAATGCAATGATGCACTGCGCAGCCTTCCGAGGTTTGATTTCTCACTTCATGGTGTACTGATGTTGTCAAGATCGATCAACTGATTGCTGTATGATTGGATCTGTTTATAGTTGAGTTTCATGCAAGTAGAGAGCATTTGGAACACTTGCAAATGAATGCGACTTTACCTGAAAATTGTTGTACATAATTAAAAAATATAGGTACTTTATTTACAATTAATAGAAATTATTTTGTTAACCTAGACAATGCAATGCCCTGGAATGTATCTTACTCGTCTATTCTTCTTTACCATCAGTGCCTCCAAATATGGCGATTTGGCCACTGAAAACTTAATGTTTGATGCAGCTAGCTAGAAACTGAGCTTCAAGTTTGTGAGTATGATTTAAAAGCACACAGATTAGCCTACAGATTATTGGATTAGGTGTAAGATTTGAGGTTTTGTGCATCTTCCTTCTGCACTTTGTTTTACTGAATCTACATAAAGGTCCTTAAGAATTGATTATTCGATCAGTTCCTTCTGCGTAGTTTGGTTTCATCTAAACCTTGATATATATATTTCCAGATATGCAATTTGGGCTTCAATATTTTCTTTAAAGGGCTAATTTATATTTTATTAATCACTTGTGCATTTACTCTTTCTGCTGGGAACTAAGCCTAACGGTTCAAGTGGCTCGAGTTTTGTATGTGGAGCCTTCAGCAGCGCTTTGCTTAGCTGACGTGAACCAGGGCACTTTGTCTCTTGACAAACAAGAAGCTAAACAAAGGAAGTTGTTACCTCTACCTCTATGCTGGTGAGTTGGCTTCCTTCCCTGTTCCTTGAATACAAAGATATATGAGGGTTTGAATGCTTGATGGATGCAGTGATTTGGTTTAGTTTAGTGTTACTCTTGATTTTGATGGATAAGTCTCTGTGGTCTTTGTGGGGCTGCAGCAGTCTTTGTGGTCTGTTTTTAGAGGACAATTTGCAGAAGAGCAGATCTTTAGAGGACAGCAAAGCTGATCTGGACAGGACAGCAGCAGCAGATCCTTGATCGGCATCTTAGCATCCTTAGGATAGCATCTTAGAGGCATCTTAGGACAAACATCTTAGAGGACAGCATATTAGCATCTTAGACTAGCATCTTAGACTAGCATCTTGGCATATGCTTGGTTATAAATATGTATCCCCAACCCCTCAAAGGTTGACATGGCATTTGTGTGAGTTTGTGTGAGAAATAAACCGTAAAATTGCCCCAACTCCTAGTGTCATCCTCTCTCGATGAGAGTAAGAATTCTGCTACTACCGAAGTGAGAGTTCAACGACTAACAACCGTTATCAAAGCCGTTATCCTTCCTCGAAATCCATGACGCTACCATCTCTAGCAACGAGGTCCGCTGGAGTGATAGCCGCCGAAATATGTTGCTTTGCTGCCGTTTTTTTTGCAGTAGGCGCGAAGTCGTCTCGCCTCATTTTGTTATTTCGAGCCTCTACTCTGTTAGTCGCTGAATTTCGCTACTACCGAGTGAGAGTTCAACGAGTAACAACCGGTCTGCGTATTATCTCGTCTCGAATATCTCGTGCTCATCTCCTCCTACCGCTTCTACAATAGCTCTGAAGCTCATTATCTTCCGCCGCTTCGCTCACCTTTTCCTGCGCTGTGGCGGGCAAGATTAAAGGTTTCCACATTTTGACGGTATGGTTTGGCTCCGCCGCGAGCGAATCGGCAAAATATTTTATATAGGTCTGGCAGCAACGAGCAGCAGCGGCAAGCGCAGCGCTAAGCAAGCGGCGGCGGCGAATGCAACGCAGGCGGCGGCGGCAGCAGCGAGGTCGAGGCTCTAATGACTCAATTTCACGACGACATTACGCGCGACCTCGAGCTGCTAGAGAGGGAGGCAGCGGCGGCGCAAGCAGGCGTACCAAGCACGCCCACGAGGGCGGCAGCCCAGACACAGCGGCCGGCGGCGCTCGGAGGAGGCGCGCATGGCGGTGGCGCTTGGGCGCCACGCGACGCCCACGAAGCGCGCGGGCGGCAGCCAGACAGCGGCGGCGCGCGCGCCGGGCGCGCTGGAGGAGGCGCGCGCACGGCAACGGTGGCGAACGGGTTGATGGAGAGCGCGGTCTTCACAGCAACTCTCTCTCCCGGATCGGTACCGACGGGTCGATGGAGAGCACGGCCTTCACAGATCTCTCCCCGGATCGGTGCCGTGGTTACCACGGGCTCCAGTGTCATTGTTAGGGACGCCGGTCCCGGCGGTGGGTTCACCAAGACCAACTACGCCGAGTGGGGCTGCGGTGATGAGGTTCTAGGTGCGGCACATGTGGGAGGCGATTACGACCTAGATTCGCTGCAGATCCGCCCGAGATGCGCTTCGCTACCAACAAGCGGATCGCCAAGGAGGCTTGGGACGCCATCGCCGCAAAGACGCATTGGCAGCCGACCGCCCCTCGCAAGTCCACACAAAGCAGCACTTCGCAGGAGTGGGAGAACTCGCCTTCAAGCCGTGAGGACGTTGATGACTTTGCTCTCTGTCTCAACACTCTGCTGCGAAGATGGTGCGGTTTGGCGATGACACCTCACGGCGAGGAGAGAGCCGTGGTTCTTTTCA